TGTGTGTATGTGTGTGTGTATGTGTCTGTGTGTGTGTGTATGTAAACGTAGAAAATCCACAACAAAGAGAATGAATATCTTCACAATACAATAGATGTATTTTCACCGGAAATGTATTCCAAACCGGCTAAACACATCTCTTGCATTGTGAAAACATTTATTCTCACAGATGATGATGAGGACAATCGTGACAAAAAATGAGAATAATAACACGCAAATATAACTAAATGATAGTGACACTAATCAAATCAATTAGTCAATAGATAAACGATAGATAAAGAACAAACGCAAAACCAATAACCACCTAACAACCACAACCATAAAATCACAACCAACAACAACAGTAAACTACAACCACAACCATAAAATCACAACAAACAACAACAGTAAACTACAACCACACGTACCCACAAAAAACACAACAACGAAATACGCTAGACAAATTAAAAATTACATCTTCACTACAATACATTACCAAAAACAAACAAACAAACACACAGTAACTACAACCACAAATAAAACATAGTTAACACCCGCGACCACAACCACAACGAACAATAAACCACAACAAAGCATAACAACCACAACTTTCACCCCCCTCAAAAAAAAAAACAGCCACAAAAGCCACCAACTACAACAGCAAATCACAACCACAGCAACAACAGATTACAAGGCCCTCCAACTGCAACGACACGACAACCAAGCCACAAAATCCACAACAACAACAACACGCAACAACCACATATGAAAAAATATGAACGAGAATGACCATCTTCACAACACAAGAAATGAAAATTCGATTCAGTCTTGGGTTGTTAATCCTAACGAAGAAGACGAAGATCGAAACCTGTCAAGATATTCATTTCTATTTGTTGTGGGTTGTGAGTGTTGTGGTTCAGTTGTGATTCGGTTGTGGTTGTAGTTCTCCCGTCTCCCCCACCAACCTGCATGAACGAGGGGATCGACCGCGCCCACTTCACGCCCAAAAAGAGGAGTTTCGCGGCGTTCTCGTAGACACTGTCCGTGGGCGTGATCACGAGCGAGCCCGGGTCCACGCTGATTGGAGGCGCCCCTGGTGTGAGGGCGGTGCTTGTGGGCGTGGGCGGGGTGCTGGGCGAGGGCGTGGGGGTGGAGGTGTTGCTTGAGGGCGAGGAGGTGGGCGTGGTTGCCGTGACGGGGGAGGTGGAGCCGCCCTTTTCTGCTGAGGAGGAGGAAGGGGGGGGGGGTATTACTATTAGCATATTGATGATAATCATATATGTGGTAATGATAATAAAGGTAATATTAATGATAATGATAATGATGATAATAATGATAATAATGTAAAAAATAATGATAATAATGATAATGACAATAAGGATGATAATAATAATGATAATAATAATAATCACTAATATCATTATCATTAATATTATCATTAGTAATATTATCAGTACCATCATTTTTATTACTATCATTATTGTTATTTTTTCATGAAAATCAGTTTTCATTATCATGATTTTTATTACTATCATTATCATCATCCTCATCAGTAGTGACTGACACCATCAATATTATAATCATCATACCAAAGTCATTGTTTTTTCTTATTTATCATTATTATTATAATTATAATTATAATCATTATCATTATTATTATTTTCAATCAAAATCACCGAAACTAGAATACCTCCTATTCTTAATTAATTTCTTGTGCTTGACGCCTCCCACCCTTGTTATTTAGCAAACGTTATTGAAATAGAAGTAATTACGATGAAATATAATGCAAATGTGAATTCTGATATTTACATAGATGTATAATATAAGAAAGATGAAGATTGCAAGAACGCAAATTATGATGACAAGAATAACAAGAATGAAAATATAATTATGGTCAGAATAAGAAAGCAAATATAATTATGGACAATAACGAAAATGGAAATAAGGTAATGACCAGAATAAAAAAGTGGAATTAAAATAATGGCCAGAAAAAATGGAAAAATGATAATGGGCAAAAAAAAAGAAAAGAAAAAAATAGAAATAAATAATGGTCAAAATAACAGAAACGCAATTAAAATATAATCGGATGCAATTACGTTATGATGAGATAATGATGACGTCACGCAGAGTAATATATGAAAAGGCGCAGCGATTAGGATGATAAAGATGATGAAATATGAGGATAATGATGAAAAGTGTGATAATCATGACAAATAAGGGACTTCAACGGTGATAAAGAGGAAATGGAGCGAGAATCGATAACAGCAACAAAAAAGAAGAAAATGATGATAGCGAGGAAAATGCCAAATGTTAAAAGGAAAGAGAAGAAAACAGAATTAATGATGATTGGATCGCAGGACGAGGACGAGGAGCGGCGCAAGATGGACGGCGAGCGGAAGGGTCGATGGAGAGACAAAATGAATGGTGTTCCTGCGAGGGAAGCTAATCACGTGACGATTGGCTGATCCTAATGGGTGTGTCAATAGATGTCGCCTGTTCCCGAGGACGAGGCGGTCCGCCCTCGCCCTCAGAGGTAATGGCCCTAAATGACGGTGATAAGCAGGGTGATTGAGGCGGAGGAGGTCGCCCGCCCGCGGACGCGCAGGTAATTGCTACCTGGCGAGGCGCTTATTGCAGTGACGTCGGTGACTAACATAGCGGCGACCTGGACACCCACCATTATTTTTGACGAAGAAGGCGCCGGGCGAGAAGAAGGCGCTGTTGTTGTTGTTGTTGATGAAGATGTTGTTGTTGATGCTGTCGCTGTTGTTGTTGTTGGCGGCGGAGAGCGCGGCGGAGGCGCGGGAGAGGGACGAGGGCACTGAGGGCTCCAGGCGGAGCGCGGCGTCGGGGCTCCGCGACTCCCCGTCCCGGACGGCGCTCGGGGGGGTCGCCGTCCCCGCCGAGGGGGGCTGAATGCCGAGCCCTCATTGGCCGGCCGCGGCGCCTCCATCGCGTCGCCCATTGGCTGCCGCAGCCCCGCCGGCGGCGGCTTCAGCTCCAGCCGCTCGGCGATTGGCGGCTTGGCGGCGGCGCGCTCATCGACCGCCGCCTTGAAGTCGGGGCTGCGGGCGCGGGGCGCGAACTTGGCCTCTAGGCGGTCGGCGGCGGGCGGCTTGAAGTCGGGCGGCGAGGGCGAGCGCCGCAGCCCCGCGTCCGCAAGCGGCCGCCGCAGGTCGCCGCCGAGGATGGCCATGTTGGGCTTGAAGGCCGAGTTGTGGCTGAGGTGCAGCGTGAGGGGCGCCATGGAGGGCGTCATGGGCAGGAAGGGCGGCTTGAACGGCATGGGCGGCAGCAGCGCGGGGTAGTAGGGCGGCAGGGGCGGCAGGCCCGTCCCGCCGCCCACGGACACGGGCGGGAAGGCGCCGCTGCCGGGGAGGTCGGGCGCGAACATCGGCCGCTTCTGACAGGACCGCGGGGCGCGCTCGTGCTGCACGGCTGCGGGGGGAGGGGGGGGGGTTAGTGCGTGCCTTTGAGAGGTCGGAATCATGCTCAGGAAGGGGCATTGATGGAGATAGACAGTCATACACATACGCAGAAAATATGCCCCCGCCCCACACACACATACACACGCACAGACACACACACACCGATACACACACACACACACACACGCACACAAACACTCCACAGACCGAGTGTCTCCCCACACACACACTCTGCTAATGTATCTTTTATGTACAACACTCCTCTCCCTCTCCTTCTCCCCTCTTCCTCCCCTCTTTCCCGTCTCTCTAATTCCTTTTTTCTGAGGCTGTCTTATCCATCGTTTCCATTAAGATCTGTTATTGATATATATTTCTTATTCGATAATGATGATAATGAGTTTTCTCGTCACGCTTAGAATTTTTATTGTTAACTGCATGATCATCATGATTATGATGATAATTGTTAGTATTATCATAATCATTATCATGATCATCATTATCGTTAATATCATCATCATCATCATCTTTATCTTCATCAGCTATATTATCATAATTAGAGATATTATTATTGTTATCATTAACAACAATAATAATAATAATAATAATAATAATAATAATAATAATAATAATAATAATAATAATAATAATAATAATAATAATAATAATAATGATAATATTATTATTATTATTATTATTATTATTATTATTATCATTATTATCAATACTACCACTACTACTATTATTATCAACATTACCATTATCATGACTATTACTATTGTTGTTGTTATTATCAATATTATCATTGTTGTTATTGTTATGATCTTTATCACGTTATCATTATTACTATCATCATTATCATTATCACTAATTAATGCTACTATTATTAGCATAATAACAATGATGATAATGATAATAATAATATTAATAATGATTATAATAATAATAATAATAGTAATAATAATAAAGATAATGATGATAATGATATTGACAATAAGAATATTATCCTTTTCATATACACTATCAACATCATTATTTCTATTGTAATTGAAGCTTTATCATGATCATCATTATTAAAATTACCGTTTCTGTTTATATCATTATGATTTCTTTTGATGGCGTTATGTCCGTGAATAGCAATTAGTCATAATGGGTCTTTGGATTATCATGAATAACGTAACAATGATAATACTTATAATGATGATGATGATGATGATAGCATTTATGATCATGATGAAGATAATAACGCTGCAACTATTGATGCTATATTTGTAATATATATATTTTTTTTAACAACTATCAAAGTGATTAGAGGAATAGTCATAGTGTCTGTAGTGCTAGCAGTAGTAGTGTCAGTAGCAATCTTTACCATCATTGCTATTACTTTTGTGGTTAACGCTATTGTCATATACAGTCATTCTAATGGGAAATGGAAGAAGAAAAGGACGAAAAGGGAAAAGAAGACGTAAGAAGTAGAAATTTGGAAAAATAAGAGAAAACACAAAATAAAGAAAAAAAAAATATATAATGAAAGAGAGAGATAAATATAGATAGATAGATAGATAAATCGATAGATAGATAGAGAGAGAGAGGGAG